ACGCTAGCTTTGTTGTATGATTGTGCGACTATAGGTATTTGAGCGATGTTACTTGCATCAAAATAGTTAAACAAATTAGTACTCAAAGAATCAGCATCTTGTTTCTYTGATAAATTTAGAAAAGTTAAAAAATGTTCAACAATATCTAAATCTTTAGTATATCTTATGCAAAAAGATAGCTGCTCTTCATTGAAAGATCTAGAAAGTATATAAATATAAACATATTTGTTTTTTATCAGGTATATGTATAAACTATCACTAAGTTAAATGTTTACCTTGCTTCATGCACCATTATACTAAATACACCACATTCTTTAGTTTCATTGCAAATAAAATCATTCATTTTCTTAGCACATATATCAATAATAGTGTTCTRCACAGACCAACTTGTATAATTGGTTTTGGAATAAAAATGATTTGCAAATATTTCATTAAACTTAACAACCATATTGCAAGTTTCTTTAAATTTTCCTAAAATGTGYTTTATAATTTAAAAAAAACCTAAGAATATTTAAACATATTTAGAAGTGCAAACCTCTGTTTATAGAAAGCTCATTTTCTCTATGGCTTCTAAAAGCAATTCCTTGTTTACTTAAAAACAATGTTATTTCAATTAACTGTATCATGTAGGTTCTGTTTTCTTTTATTTGTTGCATGCTTGCAGAAATAATTTGGTTAGATTCATTTTTTTGCATTGAGCTGTGAGCTGACCATTTRGACATTGCAGTTAAATTATGTATACAACTATTATGCAATTCAAGTTTTGTACCATTCACCTTTGAATCTYTATAACCACTTAACTAAAACAATAAATTAAAAACTCATTGTATACTCAGATTGCATTAAAGTATAATATGTATATAGTATATAGGTGTCTATTATGAGATAATGGTGGTAGCGATGGACCTATATGAACCGCTAAGCTGTTGAGAAGAAGAAGATATAGGTGCCTATATAATTATTATAATATATATATATATAGATCACCGAGTACCTWTAAAGTTAATTGTATATAGAATTCTAAACCTTTAAACTTATTATTAAAAACTTGCTTTTTTCCAATTATTAAATCCATTACTAATAGATGTTTGTTTAACATGGCCAGAGTCAAGCAAAATGAAAATAAGCAACAAGCGTAACAAAAAATGGCATMATTTTTAATGCTTATACTCAATCCATAGATATTTTTTATAGTAGGTACTTGAWAATTATATGTTTTGTTGTCCAAATTAAGTTTTAGGAAATACCTAGAAACATTGATGTAATTAACTACTTACACAATTAGTAATTACAACTTAAAGTTAATAATTTCATTAATATAAATCATGACCAATACAATAAGAAAAGGGAATTTGAAAAATGTACTTACTTTTAAAATTGGCCTCATAGATCCGGAATTTAAATCTCCAAGATCTAAAGATCCACTTGGGTATTATTGGTAATAGATTCATCATCGCTGTTGACAATATTRGTATTGGTAGCAGTAGTGATAGAAACCGATATATTTTGATCAACATCTATTTTTGTAGAAACCGTAGAACTTGTAGAAATAGTTGTGGATTTATTTTTGTCATTGAAAATGTTGAATAACTTTTTACTTTCCATTGTTAAGTTTTAAAAACGTTTAAATAAGTTTTAATACACTGATCATGCAAAATAAACTATAGTCTAATGTAAACGTGGATTGTTAACTGTTGTAATGAAAACGACAAGCGGATAGCAATCATAATATGTAACCAAAATATAAATGCATTCAGATATTCAGAAATCAGATAAGTGCAGTAAATGGTCGGAGTGAAAGATCTAGTTTGCCGAATTTAAAACAATAAAAATAAACTTTTAATCTAATATAGTATAGACTATAAACACGTCATGTCAAATATTATGTGTTCTTAT